ACGATGCTTTTAACATAAAGCATATTTGCATACATTTGTAAAAAGAATGAAGTATGTTGCTATTTCTTGATATTTACCGTGTAAAAAAAATTGTGTTGCTATTTCTGGAAATGCTGCTGTGGCTTTCATCAGACCAGTAATAATTTAGCAAGTTGCCAAAAATAGATGAGAAATAATAACTTTTTCATGACAATTATATGAGACAAAGCCTAATTATTTTTGTACAAAAGTAGCTTTTCTTAATTAATTTTCTGATATAAATTACCTCAAGAGGGTCAGAGGGTACTCAGGGACTCTTTGGGAACTATGGGGGCATTTCGAGAGCTGGTGGCCTTTGGGAGCACAAATATTTTTCCTTCTTTCATTTTGACCTTGACTTTGACTTTGATGATGAACAAGGCTGTCATAGAAGAGTTAGGAAGTTGTTTCCCAGGCAAACCTTGTAACAAAGAGATTTTTTCTAAAACATGAATGGAGAGAGAGAGAGAGAGAGAGAGAGAGAGAGAGAGAGAGAGATCTTGGAAGCTCTAATGAAGACAAACTTCTTTTGAAGAGGATTTTGAAAGTTATTCACAGGAAATACATTCATGTCTTCTGATGATCTGAAACAAAAATAACAATAATTTTTAAACATATCAGATATCAGACGCAACTTTTTTTTTAAGGAAGGAGATGAATTTTGTTGGGGTGTTAATTATGCTGCTTGAACATGGAAATGAAAGAGATGAAGAAGACAAGCGCAAAATGGTTCATGTTGAAATATTTAATATCTGTGTTGTTAAAGTTGAAAATCCATGGATCAAAAACGTTATGGAACCATGAAAGAGTACCAAAATTTCAAAAAAATTCTTTTTTTAGAGAATCTTTTCAGGGATTCTTAGGCAATAGTTATTATGCTCTTTAAACGTATAACAGATAATTTTTAAGAAAAGTGATGAATTTTGTTCGGGGTAAGTTATGATCCTTGAACATGGAAATGGAAGAGATGAAGAAGACATTAGCAAAATGGTCATCATCATAAATTTAACATATGGGATGCTAAAGTTGAGAACAAGAGACCAAACACAATATTATCACACAATGTAATGAGTACCATATTTTCAAAAAGATACTACTTTTAAGGATTTAGTGTTCAGTTATGCTCCTTCAACATATATGACAAATAGTTTCTAGGGAATAAAGAAAAAAATTGTTGAAATTTCATCATGCTCCTTGAAAATGGAAATGAAAGAGAGAGGGACAAAAGGGTCATTTTCATAAAGTTAATTTAGGGGAAGAACCAGGTACCAAAAGCGGTTGAAAAACTATGAACTAAGGACCAAAATTGCAAAAAAAAAAAAAATTCTCTTTTGGACCTAACAACCAACCTCATAATAAGAACATGTTTAACTTTAGAAAGAAACTCAGACTCCACTATAGAAGTAAATTCAATAACTTTTTTTAACATAAAAATAGATTGAATTCTTCGCTAAATAAAAGCATTTCTATCAAGTCAAACACACACAAATCCAAAAAATATAAGACATCATTATCCATGCTGAACTTTATCAGTGCAAAAGAATTTACCATTTGATCAACTTTTGTACTGTTTAAAATTGTTAATTGCTACCAAAAGAATTTACCATTTGATCAACTTCTTTGACAAATGAAGAATCTTAGGTGTCTGCACAATTAACAAATCAAAACATTAGAAAGATATACTGATATGAACATGTATTAAGGAAAATTAGGTAAGTTTAATGAATCCATGTGTGTAGCATTCCTGAACTCCATTTGGTTACAAGTTAAAGTCCCTCTTTTATCAGACATAATCATCTCAGCCTAACCACGTTCCTAGCATTTCATCTGTATAACTGTATTGGTTGGATTTCAGAGTAGCAAACTTCAACTAAAAACTTCATATGTAGGAAGCTAAAGTATTTTCAACATGACAAAAATTAAAACCCAAAATTTATGAAACATGTGCAAGAATCTGAACAAAACCTTTGAAACAGGGCAAAACATAACATAAATTACCATGAAAGTACCTCTTAATAGGAAAACAAATGAAAGTATAATGCTATAGTTGGTAACCAAAATAAAACAAATTTAGATTTTAGAAGTATAATAATATCTTTAGAGGTTAACATTCAAAAAATAAAGTCATAATAGAAAGAAACAAAAAACTAGGTACATTGTGTTAAGTGTGGGTTAATATGTTAGATTTCGAAGGTATGATGTCATAAGGAATAGTATCATGTTAAAACTGAAAGTACAATCTTAATAGAAAATAAGTGAAGGTATAATGCTAATCAAGTTTAGCCTTCAGATTAACATGAAAAATATACAACTTCCTAGTAGGTTGGATTTTGAAAGTATAATATTATAAGTAGTTAGATTTTCAAAAAAATCTTAACGGTAAGGAAATTAGAATTACCTTGTCTTATAGAAAAAAGAAATTAAAACCATGTCTTAATATGTTTGATTTTAAAACTGAAATCCAAACTTAATGTAATTGGTTTGGCTAAAAAGTAGCAATTTTAAAACTGAAATCCAAACTTAATGTAATTGGTTTGGCTAAAAAGTAACAATAATAAAATGCTTGTTTTTAATGTTTCAATCTACCAAAGACCACACCATTTCCTTAAGTAATAAATAAGCACAAGTTTTAGGGAATGAGTGGTACTTCTGGAAATACACAAACAGGGACATAGACTCATAGCTACCTGCATACCACTTCAATGCGTTGTCATCATGTAGTCAGTGGATAGAATGTGGTAATTTGATAAAGCAAGTTCATAATTTCGTAACATGAAGGCATAAATACCCTTATGTGAGATTCAATGATAACAACACCCTTATTAGTTATTTGATGATATCCATTGGAACTAATAGCATACCTTGTTATTTCCCACAATTTTCCTTAAAAATTTAACATAAGTTTTGAGGCTTGTTGTTATCATAACCAATTTGGTGATATGATAACCATCATCATTGGTAAAGAAACTAGCTGCATCATATATACCTCTCTTGTTGCCATTATTCAAAAAATAATTAATATTTTTAATCTGAAAATAAACACAGAAAACATTACATGACTAAATTTAAATCAATGAAGCTTCAATTTACAGAGACAGTATCTCATGAACGCTTTCGATCAATCATTTCTCAAGGTTGCATATGAGCTGTTTCAAATCAGAAAATCAAATAAGGCTGGCAAAATACAAAATATACATAGTATAGTATACATACATTATAATAATATTATGTACATTCACATCTGATACGAGTATAAAAAAAATTGATTCTTATGCCTTAATGAGAGATAGCCTTGATTACTGCATACCTTGCAAGGGGGGGGGGGGGGGGGGGGGGGGGGTCGTGTGATTGTGGAATTTGATTCGGTTCTTCATGCAATAACGTTACACGGATTTTAGTGGAAACTTGAAAGATTAAGGCAGAAAATAAAATGTTTTGTAATCCAAATAATACTCAGTTGTGGACCTTCATTTGGTTCTAATGTTAGACTTGGTGCTAATAAATACCTATGATATCTTAAAATGAAAAATAAAATAAAAATTAAGTATAATGTATTACGACAGTATCTTAAAAGGGTGGATTATGAACATATAATGTTACAATTTGGAGTATAATGTTGCATGCAGTTTGTTAGATTTTGAAAGTGAACTCTCTTAATAATAAAAACTTTCAAGTTATAATGCTATCCAAAACCAAACATGTTCAGGTTTTCAAAGCACACTGACTTAATAGGAAAGATAATAAAATTACAATGTCTTCATAGGTTAGATTATGAATGTATAATGTTTTAATAGAAGGTTTTATAGCTTAGCATCTAAATAACATTCAACTACATATATATATATATATATATATATATATATATATATATATATATATAAGGAGTTTTTATTATTACCCTATTAGGCATTTTGCATGTATACTAATATTAAGTATTCAGTAAAGTAGGGTTTGTTTATTTACCTTAGCATCATCATATACTGTCATTTAGCTTCTTCTCCAGATATCTATGTGCTCTTGAGTGCTCTAGTTATCCTATCAAATAACCACAAATTATTAATGAAATACATAAATAAAGCTTTACTTACAATCTTCATGGGGAATCAATCTTTGTGTTGATAAGTGTGTGGCAGGCAGATTATGTGAACTTAATAATAACATGTTGTTGTTAGCCAGCCAACATTACAATAAGATTAGAATGGAGTAAAAATGTTAATAGACAATCAATACATGATTTAACCTCCTCATAAACAAACCAACTACAATATGTTAGACCTAATACATTCAGACCAAATGACTAATCCAAGATTTTGACCCGGGTTATTTTGCTAGTAAAATCCAAATCAACGAAAGAGAAATGAGAAAAAAAAAAAACATTAATTGCAATTTCTTTCTTCACTAATAATGGTATCTTTCAAGAATTACTTAAATAATTATTAATTTCACTAATAATGGTATCTTTCAAGAATCACTTAAACAATTATTAATTTCTTTGTTCACTAAACAAATATTGATGCATATATAGTATATATGCATCAATATTTGTTTAAATGCAAGAAATATCAATGTACTTTCATCTACTTGTAATCTCAGAAGGTTTCAAATGCATACCTAAAGTTAGGGGTGGCAAATCGGGCCATCGTGTCGTGTTTTTGTCTGACACGACAATGTTTTATGTAACACGAACACGACACGGTCTCGGGTTTTTGAACTAACACGAAAACGAACCGATTAAAAAACGACACAATAAGACAAAGATAACATGAAATAACAATTAATGTATTTAATTAATATTTATTCATACATTACACGAAAAACACGACAAACATGACAAAAATGTTAAATCGTGTCAATTTCGTGTCAAATTTTGAACACGAACACGAATTCGAATTTCAATTTCGTTTTGTGTCGTGTATTTTTGTTGATGCGTTTTTTTTCAAAAATTTCAGTGCAGAAAGTATAATGCAGATGCGTACATAAAGTTATGATGTAAGGTACCAATTTCTTGTCTTCAATTTCTTTGGAAGAACGACATTGTACCCTTGTTCTACCACTAACTACCACAACAACAAATCAGTAACTATGATGATGAAATGTAGAGGGTTTACATTAAGAATGTATATTATACATGAATATGAAATCTAGAGTTGATAAAAAAAAAAAAAAAGCAAACCATGGAACAACAAAAATGTACATTGATTTAGGCAAAATTAATCACATGTATGTGAAACGTATGTATCAACTACTCATGTCTTATTTGACAATCTTCTCCTATTAAACTAATTTCATCCACAGGTGATGTGGTGTTGCACCTTTTTATTTTTCAAAGAGATCAGACTATTAATTAAACAATGAAAAAAGAGTAGTTAGTTACATTTGTTAAATAATAAAAAAACTTACCTCGTGTTTATCAGAGTATGTATTCATCAACTTCTTTAGCTGGATGTTGTGCATAATCCTGAAGAGCATCAGGAAGTTGGTTATGTTGAATAAATCATTGGACCTTGGAAAATTAAATACATTAATTTTACCTTGGAAAATCATACGCATGTTGGGTCCCGGGTTGCTAACACTATTATTAATCCAATGCGTGTTGGAAAATTAAATACATGTCTACACAATATTAATCCAGATATAGATAAACACTATTATTATGCCTTAAGTTGCTTGCCAACAAATGTAAAAAGAAAAACCATCTATCATAGTCACACCATACATAAAACATTGACCAACACAATTACACTTGGCATATGATGTGTTCTCAAAAAATTGAACTTTTTCTTGAAATACCCTTGTCGTCCATTAAAAAAAATAATAAGAAAAAAAAAACTGTTAGTGTTTCTTCAAGTTAACGTTTGTTGTTTTTGGATGAAAAACTATAAATACATTGCTATTATGAGTAAATATTAAAGAAAACTATCTATTAAATACTAATAGTAAAACAAAATTATCTACTAAAATATTTACAAAAATTGCAATAACTGCTCGCATTTCTTGTATAGATCATCAGAAAGAATGAGATGAAATCCATACTTTCTTAATAAAATTGGTTTGGCTAAAAGGTAACAGCAAAAAGATGCTTGTTCAAGAACCACATCTGAACGAAGAGGTTCCTACAAAAAAATTGAAGTTTTTTTCACAAAATTCTCATATTTATAATTTTATTCACAAAAGAGTATTGATTATTACCTTAAACACCAACACCCTCTTTATATTGACCACTTGTTTCTAACATTTCATCCCACCAAAGACCACACCATGTGGCATTTCCCTTCCCTGATGTCTCAATTTGCTAAAAGAAAATACACTTTTTAGATAAGTAAAAAACTTGACCAAATAACAAATATAAATTGTAAAGAATTACCAGGCGTACTAAATAAGTGATGAAGGCATTTTCCATGCAATATTTAGCATCTTTTAAATAAATAAGCACATCATTTCCTAAGGAGAATAAATAAGCACAAGTTTGAGGGACAGAGGGGTATTTCTGGAAATACACAAACAGGGTCATAGACTCATAGTTATAGCTACCTGTACACCTGCATATTGTTTCCATGCTTTGTCAGCTTGTAATCAATGGATTTAAGGCAGTAATTTGATATAGAAGTGTATCTTTACATACTAACAGAAAAACTAAATAAGAACATAAAAAACATCAAGTGTTTTATAGTGTTAAGGGTAAAAACATACATGTTAACACTTTGATTCTCGGGAGCATCTTCTTTTCCTTTTCTAAACCACAACATCTGTATTTGGTTTCTAAAACCTTTTCTTTTTGCAGAGTATAAAATGGAATTTTGTCAAAGGAATTGGAATTAAGAAAAGCAATTAATCTCGGAGTAATATAAGATAACTTGTGGTTTGCAAAATACTTTTAAAATGAATGGAATTGATCGGACAAATAAGAATATGTCATGTGTATAGTTGAAAGAAAATGGAAAGAAATTTAGATTCATTTCATGTGTTGTTTTGTGTTTGGTTTGCAAATTATTCAAAAGAATTGAAGTGAAAGTTATGTTAAATGACCAAAACACCCTTTAGTGACCTTTTTTTCTAAAATAAGAGATATTTACTGGAAAAGATTTCACTCATAAGACAACTAGTAAACACTAATTATATAAAACATCAAACATACATACTCTAATTTCATTAACACTAAAAGAAAAAGTAACGTGCAATTAAAAATGAAGACAGATAACTAATTAATAATATAACAAATGATTATAAATATCTACATTACATTTATAGAAGTGTATATTAGGATAAATTAGGGGTGAGCATAAAGAAGAAGGTGCAAGATTCGAAAAACAATATTTTGGTTGTAAGGACAAATTTAATCTTTTATACAGCCTTAAATAAAATTGTTTTTTTTTTCAGAAAGAACCTCACCCGCATCCTCTCTGCTGAGCAAAAAGCAAAGATGCTGACCAAAACAAGCATTAGAAACTGGTTTATGTTAAAAAGATGCTGGCAAAAAAAAAATCCATGTCATTCAAGTTTCACTTTATGAAAAGATGGAAACAAATTGTATCATCACATGAAATGCACTAATATTCAATTCCCATGGATTTAATTAGTTCATGATCAGAAGCAGGGGTAACTGGTTTATGTTAAAAAGATCCACAAACTTATTGATAGGATCAATGTCATTTGAAAAAAACAACCAAAAGGCCTGCACATTCATTGTAATTAAAGCCATGTAATTTAAATGGGAGAATGAGCAGCAATGCACTTTAAAAACTTACATGTAATAGATGATCAAAGGCTTCATGGTCTGCAAAGTACAAATTCTTTATTGAAAAATTGGAACCATGTTTGATACAAAATCAGGTTGAGAAGCAGCAGGGCCAAGTAACTAAAAATAATTTTAAAATGATAACATTTAAACTCTTAGAATTATGTGTAAGAACTTACAGATGGTTATAGTTTCTAATTCTAGAGGTGATGGATGGCTCTAAGTACAAGTCTGAATCCTCATTGTTTCCTGCATCAGAAATAACCAGTTTTAAATCAAACAGCTAATACTACATGGCTACATTGGCTAAACAAGTTACTTAATAGGAAAGCATTGTAATATGTGATGAATGTTTTGAACATGTAAACAGATAAATTTATTTATACCTCAACATTTGGTTGTCTAACATCTGATGCATACAACATTTGCAATTTGAAGCCTATAAACAATATAGACAGGCTTTTCATTATTACCGTATTAGACATTTTGCATGTATATTAATATTAAGTAATTAACAAAGTACAAATTGGTTTTTTCATCTTCAGAAATTTATGTACCATGGGGAATCAATCTATGTGTTGATAAATGTGGCAGATTATGTGACCCTAATAATCACCCGTGATGACAATGTCGTTGTTAGCCAGAATTGGGTATGCACAAAAAGAGATTTGAGTAAGACATTCGTGATCTGATCTGATAAAATTGGTTATTCATAAGAACACATTCTGAAACAAGCGTACCAGACACGCTAAATCAGATTTTACAGAGAAAAAAATCAATAAAAAGATAGAGGAGAAAACCCTAACGAAACGATCAACAAAACTACAGAAAAATTACGTAGTTTCCTTCTGTTTTTAAGTTTCAATATAACTTGTGCAATTAGAAATTAGAAAACCATAGTTTACTGAAAAAAAATCGCAACTGTGGCTTCGATTTTTCTCTTATCCATACATACAGAGGAGATTACGACATCTGAAAATCAGAAAACCCTAGTAAACTACAATAAAAGGGAAAAGAGAAAAGAGATAAGAACGAAAAGTTACAGATAACTTCATAGGTTTACCGACATGGTTGTGAGTGTCCTACGAAGGGTGGGGGTGCTTGTGTCTCCGGTGAGCTGAGTTACAGAGGTCGCGATCAGTCGTCTCCGACGGTGTTTGGATAGCGGAGCGGGATGAGTGAAGTGAAGAAGGAAGAGTGGAGAAGGTATATTTTATGCGCCAATACACCGACCTAAACCTTTTGGCTTCCCAATTCCAACGGTCTTTTATAAAACCTTTCCAATATTAAAACGATTCTAACTTGCACGTTCCCGGATCGTGAGTTTTGTAAAATGATGGTGGTTTCCCACAACTTCCATATGAATTCCACCGATTGACATAAATGGTCCCTTGGATATTATAACTTTAACCCTCAATTTATCTCATATTTTATTGACAACTTTTCACAAATAGTCTTTATGGTTTTCATTTTTATTTCTAAAATAATCCTTATAAAACTTTTTTTTACATGAATGATCCCTTTTAAGCAAACCTTTGGTCCTTTTGGTTTTAAATTTATCCCATTTGTGGTCCTTCTGATTAATTCTATTAAATTTTTTTGGTTAAACCTATGTGAAATTACTTTTTTGCCTTCAATTTTTTTAATTTTAGTTATTATTTTTTGTTATTTAAAAAAGAAATGGGCCCACCACTTAGCCCCACCCCACCACCTCCTCCTTTTCTTATTTATTTGTTCATCTACATGCTTCTAGTTTGTGAATTGTTCCTACCCATCGTATCCTTCTGATCTCTCTCCCCTTCCTCCTGATAAACCAGACATTATGTGTATTTCCTTTGGTTCCATTGCAACATCACTATGTTTTTTAAAAAGTTGTACAATTCTATTGAATGTAAGGTCAATACATGCTTGAACTAGTAATTGTCTTGCTCCTCGTGATGGTAGAGATTTATTATAGCTCATTGCAATTAAGATCTACAAAAATAGTACTTGTAGGAGGGTAATCTAGATTCATAATGATAAATATATCAAGAGGTAACTGCATAAAAAAATCATACGACGAAATACATAAATTGTCATGTTACATATGATGTTTCATAAAAAACCCTTTGTGCCCTTCAGATATCGGAAGATTTGTTTTACTGCTATCAAATGTGATATATTCAGATAAGCTTGGTACCTGGCACATAGACAAGTTACAAACATAATATACGGTCTACTAACAGTAAGATAAAGTAGAGAAAAATCATCCCTCAATATTATTTTAGATAAGACACAGACCAAGCGCGTAACAAAAACAAACAGTAAGAATCTTTCGAGTTAAAGAAATAAATTAGAGACCAAACACATAAATTACCCTAAACCATATGGACCATTCGTGTAATTTACTCTATAAATAACACATTTTGCAAAGTATGATATTTTTGTGTAGCCTATAGAAAATCAAACGTGATGCCCAAGGCCAGTTTTGAGGGGGAAGGGGGTGGAAGTGGGCATCTGACCCAATTATTTCAAGGGCCCGCTTTTTTATACTATATTCAGGAATGAGACAAAAGCTTAAGGTGATTCTTTAAAATCTTTACAAAAACATGGTATAAATAACTCATTTTGCAAATTATGATATTTTTTGTAGCTTACAGAAAATCAAACGCAATGATTAAGGACGGTTTTGAAAAGAGAGGGGGGGGGGGGGGGAGTGGGCATCTAGCCCAATTTTTTAGGGGCCCACTTTTGTATACTATATTCATGAATTAGGCCAAAACTTAAGCGATAGTCCATACCCACTCATACTAATCGATAGTCCACCATGCACCAAAAGACAGAAATGACAACAGATCAGCTGTTAAAGATACACAAGCACTCGATCATTCATTCAGTCGATCACCTCTAATTCTGTGAATAATCACTTAATCAGCGTCTTATGTTCTGAGTCTGAGTAGTTAGCGAAGTTACATAAGGTTAAAGCTTTTTAGTTTTCTTTTTGTTCCACTTATCATATTATGTTTATCAGAAACTGAATATTAAATCAGAAATTAGAAATTCTGAATGGTGAATTAGAGTATACATTATCAGAAATCATAATGTTGAATCAGATTATAGTTTTCTAGTTTTCTAAATGTTGAGATTTTGAATGTTGAATCAGATTATAGATTATCATAAATTGAATGTTGAAATCAGATTATAGATTATGTTTAATTGAATCAAAATTTGAATGTTGAATAGAAATTAGATTATTAGAAATCAAAATATGTTAATTGTTTATCAGAAACTGAAATCAAATTATCAGATTATGTTTATTGTTTAATTGTTTATTAGAAATCAGATGATCTAATTTAGAAACTCGAATATCGTATTATGAATCAAATTATGTTGAAACTTGAAATTATTTGAGACATTGGAAACAGGAGAATTTAGCATCCATATAGATGTTTTGAAGTATTTGAAAGAACTTGATTATTTCCCAAATGCAAGCATTGCATATAGAATATTGTTGACTATAATAACAGTAACGGTGGCATCTTGAGATAATTGTCGATAAACAAATTTTAGAGAGTATAGAGTACAAAGAGTTTAGCTTTACCCTAATTACATATTGTATATAAATCTATTTATTAAAAATAATGAATTAAAACTTATATATTATTTCAAACAAATTATTAAATCAATTAAAAACAAAAATACACTATAAAACTAACATGAAATTAAACTAAAAATAAAAATGAAACTCCATAAATACTCGGAATAAATAATTCTAAGTATTCAATCAAACAAATGAATCAAACGCAAAAAACTTGTATCATTCTTCATCATAAACATAAACAATAATAAATAAATAACTACATGAACTATCAAATCAATTATATTCAAATTACATTATAAATTTGATTACCAGATTAATTAATTTCATCCTTACATCACCATCTATTCTAATAAATAAAGATTTTTTTACCACATATCATACTCATTCATTTTTCTACTTGTAACTTTGTGGGTTTTTATTTTTATTTTTTTTACACATGACATTTTATGGGTTTTTTTTCCACTCTACTAAATTTCACATAATATTTATATGTAATAATTGTAATAAATATCATAATGAAGGGATATGAATTTCATTAGTGCTTTCCTTTTAATTCTAAAATCCCTAAATTAGTTTGATGACATAATTTACTATAATTCACTAATTAGTACCTATGACATGAAAAAAAATCGTTTTCGACTTTAATTTTATGTTATTTACAAACAATTCTTGAACAATAAATTTAATGACATAATTTACTTTAAATTATATCGAGTTATAACATGTTTACTTTTTAACATTTTAAGAGTTGTAACTATCTTAATGATTTAATATTAAGATGTTTTTTTAATGTGGTTTTACTTTTAGACTACCTTCATTGCTCCAAATGGAAACAAACTATTAGCTTTAGATATAAATAAAATGGAAAAGTTTAAATGTCGTTTAAAAACCTTAATTTCTCATTTATTGTATTTAAAAGGGGATATTGAGTAAAGTAACCATTATAAATGAGCATTTTAAAGTAAATAATCATTTTTTGGTTTTTGAAGAATGATCGCTTACTCCCGAATGTCTCATTTTGGATTTGATCTTCAAACTTCAAAGTTCTTTTGTAACACCTACAAAAATTGATCAAATTTTAAACTTTTTAAATCATTCAAAAACTAATAATTATTACAAATTGGTTTTCAAAATGGTTTAGTGTCAGAGTATCCCACAATCAAATCATAAAAACATAAGGAGGTGCATGATCACACATTCGCCTTCCTACGATCATCAGAAGTACTTGAAACATAATAAAACAACTGTAAGCCCAAAGTTTAGTGAGTTCCCCCAAAATACCAACGCTATACAAACCATATCAATATCATATAAACAAACATGCATAATGAGACATCAACCTAACCGGTCACTAACATAACATTATCTTATATACGAGGATACCGACCTACCAGGTCACCAACCATATCACCATTCTAACTACCAGGATGCAAATCAATAAGCATATCATGAAATAAACCCGGATACAAATCCAAAAAGGGCCGGCATTGGTGCCTTCGATCCTGTTGGTATAGTGAGGACAATTCACCTTACAAGTAGCTCGGGATGCTAAATGTCAAACTCCCCCAAATACAACTCCAACTCAAACACCTACATCCACCAATGATCCACTTTCATAAATTCCCACATTACTAAAATACCCCCATAAGTCAAATTGGTCAACCCTTGGTCAAAGTCAAAGTCAATGGTCAAGGTCAACAATCCATGTTGACCCAACTCGTCGAGTGCAACCTACAGACTCATCGAGTTCCTTCAGAACTCAGAGATCCGTGAGAATCAGAGTCGGCTCGCCGAGTTGGCTATCCAACTCGTTGAGTCCATGCAACGTCCAGAAGGTCCGGGAAAACCCTATCTACTCATTGAGTCTTCTTACTAACTCATCGAGTTCATGCCGAATCCAGAAAATGGGGAAACTCGTCTCGACTCATCGAGTTGGCTTATCCAACTCGTAGAGTTCATGAAGTCTACTTCTTATCCAAACGATTTCAAGCTACTCCAAAGCTCCAAATTGTAGATCTAGCCTCCTAGGGCATAGTTACCATATAAAGTTGCAAACTTTACATGCATGCAAGGTGTTAAAGGCTAAAAACTAAAACTTTATGACTATAAGGGGTTAGAGTAGTCTAGATCTGATGTTACAACTTCAGATCATGCCCAAAACCATAAATGACTTCTCAACAAACTAGAAATGGCTCTAAACCTTTTCATGAAGAGATCTAGCTAGAGAGATCAAGGTAATGACTCGTTACCTTCAAGATGATGCTAAGATGAAGTAGAAATCAGATCCACAAGCTTCTCCTTGCTCCAAGCTCCTTAGACTTCAAGCTCTCTTCATAAAATTCACCTTCCAAACTTTTTATCACTAAAAAATTGAGAGCAAGTACGATTAGGGTTTTCTGAGCTCAAGGGAGACGGTAAGGGAGGCATAGGGAGCCTAATGACCCTTTAAATAGGGTGTAAAACCCTGGAAATTAGGGTTTCATTTTCCAGCTCCTACTCATTGAGTTAGGGTCCTCCATCTCATCGAGTAGACCTCATAATTCACACAAGTTGACTAATCTCTACACAAAGACTTGGGGCCTCCAACTCGTCGAGTAGGCTTCTTTAATTGCATGAAATCCCTAAAATCTTATTCCTGGAAATTAGGATGTTACAACTCTCCCCCAACTGAACTAGGCTTCGTTCTCGAAGCCTGCTGCAGTGAACAAATCTGGATAATGCTTTTGCATTCCATCCTCCAGCCCCCAAACCTACTCGGATCCCCTCCGATGCTGCCACTTGTACCTTTACCAAAGGTACCTCCTAGCTACACAAAACCTTTACCTATCGTTCCAAGACGGCCACCGACCTCTCGACGTAGTTCAGGTGCATATCGTCATGAATATCACCAAATGATGCCATGACATCCTTGTCCGACACACACTTTTGCAACTACAAGACATGGGAAGTGTTGTGAATCTAACTGAGTTCCTCCGGGAAACCCAATCGATACGCTGCCTTGGCAACCATGGAAAAACCCAAAATGGCCCGATATATTAGGAATCCAAATTCCTTTCTTCCTGAAGCGGATCACACCCTGAAAACCTTGAGTCCTTCCCAGAACACAATCATGGATCATACGCGGTTGTCGATAATTCTATGCTGGAGAAGAGATTATATATTCTTTCAAGGGAACTCATTCAATGACCGAATTTTCAAAGATAACACGGACTACGGGATGCAAACTAGGAGAAGAACCCTTTTTGTGCTGACAGAATAATGCTTCCTTCAGCTCCCGAATCAACATACAATAACAGTCAATTTTCAACGCATAACCACAAACACATATGACTGGCCCGATCAGCCTCGGACTGGAATATCAATATGTCGAATCCAATCAAACACAGGATTGACATTCTCAGGTTTTGTCGGCCTACCGCCTCAACCCTAAAACTCCTCTTGATCCTTCATGCCTACGACTTACAGTCGGCCCGCAACGGGTATCTTGGCTCACTGTCGCAACCTTACTGCTCCTCTTGAGTCTCCGTGCCTACGACTTACAGTCGACCCACACCGGGTATCTTGGCCTACTGCATCGAACAAGACCACCTCAACCCTCCTAACATGAT